ATCTGCTTAATGTTCTCATTGGACCACAGAGATCCATATGTACCAGTTCCATCGTCCTGGTGGTGCTTACAATTTTCTTGCATTTAAAAGAGGATCTTACCTGCTTCTCCCTTGCACAAGCCTCACAAACTTTGTCTTCCTTGAACTTGATGTTAGGAAGCCCTATCACCAGGTCCTTGGAGACTAATTTGTTGAGTTAACTCAAACTTGCATGTCCAAGTCTCTTGTGCCAAATAAGCGGATCATTGTCCAACACACTTAAGCAAGTGAGTTCCTTTTCTGACAGTGTGGACAGATCTACAATATATATATATTGTTCACTCTTTTTCCTGCAAAGCAATCTTGTCAGTGGGAAGATTAATCACAAAGCATTTTGTAAAGGTGAATGCCACCAAGTTACCTCTATCACACAGTTGTGATACACTAATTAGACTGTATTTTAGGCTGTCTATCAAATAGAAATTATCAATCGAGTGAGATTCAGTCTTACCTACCTTACCAACCCCAATGATCTCACCTTTCTTCCCATTTCCAAATGAGATATTACCTCCTTTGAGGTCCTCAAGTGAAAGGAACGGGTTCTTGCTTCCTGTCATGTGCTTTGAGAAGCCACTATCCATGTACCATATTTGGTTGCTCCCCTTCACTTGGACCTACAAAAGGAAATCAGGGGTTAGTCTTAGGAACCCAAACTAGTTTGGGTCCCTTTCTATAGGTAAAAGGATGAATCAAATTCTTTTTAGCTCAATCTGGCAGCCTATTTTTCCCTGGAACAAACTTTTTATTCTTTTAACTAGCCTTTTCTTTTGCAGTGCATTCACTTTTATAGTGACCAGTCTTACCACAATGTGTGCAAATTTTGTTCTCAAGAAGTGTGAGATACTCGCGTTTGGGATCCCATTTAGGTGGTATATTTCCAAAGCCAATTCCTCTTCTATTGCTACCATGATATTCTTGTAGCCATGACAGTGCATCAGAGGACCTATTCCATTTACAAGTTCTGTCTAGTTCATGCTTGACCTTGCCTAGATCCTTTGTCAAAATTCTTACCTGCTCATCCTTCTTATACAGCTCATCTTTTAGTTTACCTACATTTTCTTCTAGAGTGAGTTGTGTGCAATCAGTTGTCTTCTTACTTGTTCCTAATTTCAGTTTTAGGTTTTCAGATCTAAGTTCTAGGACATTTGATTCAAATGCATGAACCTGGTTCTTTAGTGCAATATTTTCACTTACAGTCTCACTAACTCTAAGTTCCAGGTTCTTACACTTTGCTTTTAAAATCACACATTCCTTAGACAGCTATTTCTTTTCATTGTTTATATCCTCATATTCATCAATGAAATCTAGAAGTAACTCAGATGGCCTTTCTTTAGACAAAAATTTAATCTTGTCTTTTAGATAGATTATACTTACTTTAGATTCCTCATCGGATTCTCCAATTGCCATAAGTGCTTGTTCATCTCCATCTTCATCATCTGAGTTCTCATCTAAGCTTTCTCCCCAAGCAGCAACCATAGCTTTTGTTGATCCTTTGTTCTTCTTGGGATGAACTTGTTCCTTCTTTCTGTTTCTTCGTTCAGCTCTTTCCTTCTTCCATTCAATTTCCTATTGAGGGCAGTTTTTGATGTGGTGATCAGTTTTCCCACACTTGTAGCATCCCTCATTGGTCTGTTTTTCAGTAACCCTTGGTTTGTTGTAGCCTCCACTTCTCGAAGAACCCTTTCCTCTCATCAGGTACTTCTTGAAATCCTTTGTGATCATAGCCATTTCATCTTCCTCTAGATCAGAACCTTCAGTGATTCTGAGTGCCAAGCTCCTTTCCTTCTTGAGTACATCCATCTTCATGGTTTGCCTTCTAAGTTCATAAGCAATGAGATTTCCAATTAGCTTATCCAACCTAAGAGTGGCAATGTTCTTTGATTCCTGAATAGCAGTGATTTTGCTCTCCCATGAGACTGCAGAACCCTTGTCAAAATCTTCTCAACTTTGTCTTCTTCAAGAATAACCCTTCCAAGAGACTTAAGTTCATTTGTTAGTGTGGTGAACCTTGTATACATATCTTGGATGGTTTCCCCTTCCTTCATAGAGAAATTCTCATATTGAGAATATAGTAAAGTTCCTCTGGACCTCTTCACCTGAGATGTTCCTTCATGAGCCACTTGCAAAGTGACCCAAATTTCCTTAGCAGTAGTACAACTTTAAATTTTGTTGTACTCATCTGGACCGAGTTCACAAATAAACCATTTCTTGGCTTTAGCATTCTTCTCCCATTTTCTCAAGTCGTCAGCAGTGCAGTCAGCTCTTGTTTTTGGCACCTCTTCTCTTTCGGCATTTATCTTTATAGTAGCGAGTGGACCATCTGTGACAATGTCCCATAGTTCATAGTATTCTCCTATGATATGATCTCCCATCCTGTTTTTCTACCAAGAGTAATATTAGCCATTGAAAAGTAGTGGCCTAGCAGTGGATTGCCCTTCCCAGTTTCCAGGTGGTGCATTCATCTTGATCTTCTCCTTAAGGTGTTAGCCTCTTCAAGGATAACCTGCTCTGATACCAATTGTTATTTTAACTTCAATACCACACAAGAGGGGGGTGATTTGTGTGGTATCCAATTTTTCGCGTGCACAGATTATAAAAGGACCTGGTTCTTCTATGTGTTCCTTATCCTACTGTTGCAGAATAATAAATGCAGAAATTAAAGAACACAAGAATTTTTACGTGAAAAACACCTTGCTCAAAAGGTGAAAAAATCACGACCTACTTCCCAGTAGGATTTTCCCAAACTCTCCACTAAATCACTGATCCAAAAACTGCATTTACAAAATACTTTTGTAAACCTAGGATTAACTCTAATCTCGTTGTGGCACACAGCCTCTAACTGTTGCGACAACTTCAAGTTAACTCTAACTTGAATACTCTGAGTACCTATTACAATTGTCTCTAGATAAAGATGAAAGGTACAATATGAAAACACCTACTACAATTGAACTAGAGTAAAAGACAGACACTTGGAACTGGTTCTTCTATCTGGTTCATGTAGTTTCAGGTTCGCACACTTGAATCACACACGAACTGCTTGTAAAATGTCTTGCTATTTTGCTCTCAATTCACGTTTAACTTCTGCTTTTGTGCGTCACCTGTAGAATGAGAACATCCTGCGATTTATAGAGTTAGTAGAGTAGAAAATAACTAGAGTTCTAATGCTACTCTTCCTTGGTGGAAGAGTTCTAGTTAATCTCAACTCTTAACTCCTTCCTTATCTTGGATAATGTTCTCGTTGAGTAAGGAGTCATTCTCCTTATCAATTATGCAAACTTTTCGATTAGGAGATATCTATTATTATTTCAGATTTCGTTTATCTCTTGTATTTGCATCTCATGTGCTTTGAATCTGCCCGTGTCTATGCCTACCAGTGATGGACCTGGTTCATCACTGAGTTCCTTTGTCAATCTTCAAAACTATCCTTTACTTGGGCCAACAAAAAAATGATAAATCTAATCATTCATGCATTCATAGTGACAAGTTCAAAAACCACAACATTTGAGCCGAAAATATATAAAAATATTTTGATGTTCTTTACTCTTCCGTTTTGCGACTTGCCTTGCTATTCACCCTTTACACTTATTCTTAGTCATTTAACATGGCAGAGATTGGCAAATAAGCTACCCGGCAACATGACATGACGGGTGGGCTGAAAGTCGCGATATCAAATGAGTTAATGGAGCGAATAAATGTTGTCCTTGCAATTTCAGAGTCTAAAGCAGTTGATAATTTCCATTAAAAAAAAATGGTACGGTGGTATTTTCACTCATGGGAGCAGGGGCGGATCTATCTTATGAGATACGGGTGTCACGTCACCCACTCGCTTCGTTAAAATTTTTATTATGTACATAATATATATGTGAAGAAACGTATATATGGATAGAATGACATCCAGAAGTCACAAAGTGGAAGCATGTGCCATTGGTTCAGCTTTCCCTTTGAAGGCTTTCCTTGACCTCATGAATACAAGTTTGATTCCCTATTGGAGCAGCTCCTTTGATTTTTCCTTTTTTCTACTTATTAAGATTTTCTTTATTTTCAGTTGAGCCCCAGGGCCTCACCTATTTTCCTTCTTTTTCTTCGATTTTTTCCCTCTTTTTCTTCCTTTTATTACTTGCTAAGTCTCTCTTTTTCATTTTTTTTAACTTTAAGTCATTTTGTTTCTATCATTATACCTTACTTTATGAACAATTATTTTCTATAGGTAATTTGAATTGATTTTGATTAGCATATAATTTCTTTATTTTTAATGAAACGATATTAATTTATATATTGGAATATAATTTGAGCAATATCTTCTATTGGATTTTGAAAAATAATTAAATGGCTTGATTGATAGTCGTTTTGAGTCGAATATCATAGGTTGAATGTTGAAAGTTTTTCTTTGAAAATAATTGCCATATAACTCAACAATTAAGATGGAAAAATAAACAAAGAACAATACAAGTAAATTAATCTAGTCAAACAAAGAATATATAGTGTAATTAAGCTACTCTTTAAGCAAATATTTATATTGGATGCGCTCTTTCATGAAATGTTATTTTTCTTTTGCATTTTTATTTAGAATGTGTTTAAATTAAGCGTTAAAAATTTGAACTAAAATCGAACTTATTTGCTTTGTGAATGAAAGGCCTATTCAAATTAACCAAAAACTAACTGAACCGACCCATTATTCCTAATCTGTCTTTGTAGCTACTGGCATGTATACTGTATGCATAACATGGTGGCACCCGCAACCTTCGAATCCTGGATCCGGCTAGGAGAATACATGTCCAATATTTTCTACTAACGAAGTGGAGAATCTGCAACGAGAAATGCAAAGTTCAACCACGTATGTGTGAACAATTTACCAAAGATAACAGTAAGGAGGAATTAAAGAATACTTTCCGCAAGTTTGGCAATATTACTAGCGGAGTATTGACAAGTGACAGCTCCAAAATCAAAATAATAGACATATATTATGAAACTGAAATGGTATCAACCCATTGATTTTTGTAAAGCCAATTGCTCAGTCTACAGAAGTCATTCAGTGCACAAAATACATATCCCATGATACTATTGCTTGCTGATCGTTCGCCTACATCTATTTCAAACTACGAGCTAGCACTAATCTGTTTGCGCTGATCCACAGTAGAAAGAAATCTAACATGTGCTCCATTAAACATTTTTCCAAATTACTTAGCTGGACTTGTTCCAAAACAATGCACCTTCCACTAAGGAATGAAGCAAATCCAGAAGGTTTTATTACTAAAAATACCTGCTCTTGTGCATGGATTTGCTGAAAGAACTGTTAAGAGAAGACCGTGTCGCGCAACAGGACTTACGGTGCACTTTCTGTGGCGGGGAACAAAGCCTGTGCAGAAGGTTTTTGTACTAAAATACATTTTCTTGCACATGCATTTTCTGAAAGAACTGAGTAAAGAACCATATCATGCAACAGGGATTTTGGGTTCGCCTAAATTTACAAAAGCCTGTGCTCGAGCCATGCGTCCCAATGCCGCATCCCAAGAGACAAGGTGATTCATAAACACATTAACATACTTTGCTTTATCATTCTGTGAAAAGAGAGGAAACAAAGACGGGCACATTAGAAACAATCTCCTTGTAGAAAGCAAAAGGGAAGAACTATCGGTTACCTTGTAATCCATATAATAAGCATGCTGCAAAACGGGAAGAGCAAGTAATGATGAATATCTTTTCTCAATATAATAGTATTAGCATGTGGAATGCAAACTCTAAAAGGTTTAAGATTTCTTTCAGAGACAGAGTGAAATGTACATGGGAAAAGGAGGGCAAAATATTGTCTAACAACTCACCTCCCACAAGTCCAAACCGATCAGGGGCTGCAGAATCAAAGAGATACCAAATGAACATGCAAATACTTGTAATCAAGAAAATGTAATTTCTAAGGAAGTATTAAAAGTTATTGAACATTAAGAAAAAGAATCCTCACGATGTCATTCCACACAAGAGGGTTGACAGCATTTGATGTTTTAACAATTGCAAGACGCTTCTCCTCTCTCTTCACTGAAATAATCAAATTGAAGGTGTTATCGAAGAACTTAAAGGAGATGCATGGACTGCTCAACTGTGGTTGACAATGGCTATAAAACTTTCCAACTGATCAATCAGGAGGTCATGCGATGAAAACTTTAGGGGTCTTGCAGAAGCATGAATATTTAAATGCAGAGAAAAATGACCATGTTTGAATGATAGTTGATGACAAGAAATTAGAGTTTTTGCTAAACCTTTCATCTACTTAATCGTCATGATCATACAAGAATTGAGTCGACGGACAATATGAAATCCAGAACTTCATTCTGAACTCAGTCCATACACACTATGTAGAGAGATTGAGGCCAAAATATATGCTTGATCCTTCTCATTTTTTAACTGTCAAAAACACTTTAAAATGATGGGGAAGTGGAAGTTTAATAGAGTAAGAAAAACAAAAAGCACGAGTTATCCTCATGAAATAGTTTAGCTATTCAAATGTCCATCAGCTGTCCCTCAATAAATTTAATTAGTGATTTGGTTTTGAGAAACATATATGCAAAGACGATTGAAACTATATTAAAAGAAGACTACAAAAGAATATAAATTCTAGTTCCCAAATACTACAGCTTTCTCATTAGAATAAAAGAGCAGCCAAAGAAGAAAGCAAACAAGCGTGAGAGCCAAATCCATATGGAACATAAACTATATTTTTTGGGGGCAACTTACAGACAAGCCAAATCCATCCAGAGCCAAATAACGTGAGAGCTGCTTCTGTAAACTTCTCTCTAAAGTTGGTAAATGAACCAAAATCCTTCTCAATCTGCTGAAGGAGTCCTAATTTAGGCATGTCACCGCCTCCCGGTTGCATGGACTCCCAGAAGAAATCATGATTCCATACCTGGAATGAATAAGATCCATAAGTATTGTCCTTGTTTAAATTAGGCTCATAGAATATAGACGAATTAGGTGAAAGGGAAGCTGAATTTCTTCTTGATTGGAAAATTCAAAAAGTTAAAGACAGAAATTGAATAACAGAAAAATTGTTGAGGAAATCCTCAGAGATATGATTTTGATAAAAATTCATAATCAAAATCCAGATGGTACATTCTACAATATTTGTTCTTGTAGACTCCTTTTAACACATTTCTCTTTCTCCAATAGGTCTTCTCTCTTCTTATTGGTAGACACAGAATGCTTCCCGGTCAAGTTTACTGTGGGCTCCAACTGTCTTGTTGCCAATTTCAACAGTTAGTTACATATCTAAATCCAAATCCAAATCCAAATCGAAAAATTGTTCCTATGTCCAAGTATAGCCAACCCCTCCTAGTTGGGATGTCTCCATATTGAGTTCCTTTTCTTCACCAACATATAGATGAGTACCAAAAAGCCAACTGCTTCATCAAGCCTAAATTGAGAAGGCATCCGCTAACACAGGATTGAATTGAAGCACTTGGCTTGCATACGATCAAAAGGTTGGAAGATAATGAAGGGACGTTTCTTTCAGGATGGCAGGATTACCTCATTCAAACTTTTGCCTTTTAGAAATTAAAAGAGGACTTTAAAAGATAAAAGCAGCCTAATCAAAACCCTTATTATGATTAAGCTGCTTTCTATTCCTCTAGATCAACATTTTCAAGGGACTCGTATGTATACATAAAGCACGTTTAGTAGTATCGATTTCCAAGAGTATTTTCACTCGGAATAAAAGAAAATATTGTACAACATAAGTGAAAAAGTAGAAGCTGGAGGTTGCAATCTACAAAAAGCTTTTAGCTTATCAGACAGAAATTTATACTATAACACAAGAAAGATGCTTCTTTCTTCTATACCAAACATGCAAGGGATCTTTGCTGAACGTACAACAACAACAACATACCCAGTGTATTCCCACAAGTGGGGTATAGGGAGGGTAGTATGTACACAGTCCTTACCCCTATCTTGTGATATCTTGTGAAGGTAGAGGGGATGTTTCCGGAAGACCTTCGGTTCAATAAAACATAATCACAGCAGTTATGACAAAGAACTACGGACAACTAAATAGTAACAACAGCCAGGAAAAAAAAACGAAGCAAAGGAAACATCGGGTAATAATATCTATCCAAAAATAGGGAACACCGGGATAACACTAGTACTACAGCTAGGGAAGGAAGTACGTTCGACTACTTACTGACCTACAACCCTAATCTTCAGCCTCCATACTTTCTTATCAAGAGTCATGTCCTCGGTAAGCTAACGATGCGCCATGTCCTATCTGACCACCTCTCCCCAATATTTCTTCGGCCTACCTCTCCCTCTCCTTGGACCCGCCATAGCCAATCTCACACACCTCGTCACTGGGACATCTATGCTTCTCCTTTTCATGTGCTCGAACCATCTCAGTATAACTTCCCGCATCTTGTCCACCACACAGGCCACTCCCATGTTATCTTGAATATCTTCATTCCTAATCCTATCCTTCCTAGTATGACCACACATCCATCTCAACATCCTCATCTCCGCAACTTTTAACTTTTGAATATAAGATGTCTTGACTTGACAACATTCCGCCCCATATAACAGGATCTTTGCTGAACTTAAGAGCATGAAATGGGATGTGTGGCAGGGCATGCAACAAAATGTGCAGATACCAACTCTTGCTTATACTACGTGTCTGCAAAACAAATACTCCCTCCGTTTCAATTTATGTCACACTTTTCTTATTAGTTTGTTTCAAAAAGAATAACACATTTTTATATTGGGAAACAATTTAACTTTAAACTTTTCATTTTACCCATTTTACCCTTAATGAGAAATCTTTATAGCAACATAAATGTTATGGCCCTATAAAGCTTTTAAGACCAAGAGTTTCAAAAAATTCTCTTTTTTTTTCCTTAAATTCCGTGGCAAGTCAAACTTCATCGCATAAATTGGAACGGAGGTTAGTCTATAGCATCGGATTACTCAATGTTCAATTTTGTGATAACTTCATCAAAAAATTTAAGTTGTTAGAGAAGGAATGCATTTATTTATTTCATGTCTGATATCCTCATGTTTGGGCCTAATCTATTTTTTGGGTCAAGCACATGGAATATTTCAAAGATGGTAGCAGTGAGACTCAAATGCTAGACCTACCATCTTGGATTGTATGACCACTCATCCAAAAGCTTAACCTATTAGAGAGAGCCACATTAATTTATTTATATTATGTCTGCAATACTCAACACAGAATTTCCTAATGACTTTTATTACATTCTTCCATTTAGAAATAACTTCAGTAGTATAACATATCTGACATAAGAGTATAAGACGCAACTTGCAGAAAATGGTAGGCATGGTGAGAGTGAGTGTAGGAGGGAAGAAGTTGAAACAGAGAGGAAGAGAACCATGCCAGACGCAGGGAAGATTGTTTTAACTGCCTCGAGCTATTGGCTATATTGTTTGAACTTAAATGTACAACAACACAGTGGAACCCAACAAGTGGGATCTGGGGAGGGTAGTTTGCAATGGAAACCTTGAAGTAAATTAGGACGTTGACAGAACAGGAGATCACAATGTAATTTATAAAGACCGCACATGATTTTATGGACTGAAAACTATATAAGCCACTGCATAAGTGATTATTACAATTTAATCAACTAATATGTGTTGGGAAAGTAACACTGCTAGTTCTGCTCCTCTCAAAGGTTTTTTCAGATCTCTTCAGGTCTCTCTTCATCATGAAGTACTTTTTGCTTTGATATGATTTCATGTATCTAAATACTTTTCCAGGTAAAAATTCTCTTGGTTCCGCCAATTAACACTCGTACGTCTATAGCATCAGGAACTATAGATAGAGGATCTTTTTCATCACTCTGGCTCCTGTATATCTGTTAACACATTTCTAGCAAAAGGCAGATGGAGAACTCCCACCTAACAATAATATCTGGCTTCCTAGCAAGTGACTTGCTTAGGCCTTCCATTTAAAGTATTGGAACAAAAGATGCTTACGCTCACGATATTGGGTACACATAGTATAAAAAGAACCACCAATTATTTGTCAACGAAGGCATGATTCGAAATGGAAGATATGTTTTACCTTCCAGTGTAACTATGCTAAATTTGTAAAAATCTTATAGAAGAAAGAAACCAATCTATGGCAAATGCAAGATGAAATGATAGAGTCTCGATGCCAATACCTGGGCAGCATCACTGAATTCAGGTAATGGATTTCCATTGTTGTATGTCACTTTGATAAGTTCCTCCATGGTGCATCCACAAAGTATGTCATTCTTCTCAAGCTGTTTGTTAAGAGCTTCAACATAACCACGATGATGCTCTCCCCAGTGTACCTCGAGCATCTTTTGGCTCATATATGGTTCTAGTGCATCCTACAAGGGCAGAAGGATAAATTAGTAGCCATTAGGACATTGTATATGTAAATTTGACAAATATAATATCTAGGTGCTATTTTTTGTTTTTTTTTTTTTTTTTTTAACTTTTGGCATTGTTATTGGAGTATTATTATTATTCTTTGTTGATGACACAGAAATCTGTCTAGTGCAAACAGTTAGGACCAAAGCAACCTTTGAAGCTCGGGAATAATGGGTCCATCCCTCCATCTTTCTCCCCTTAAATACCAGGTTTAGTTCGCATGGCGTATTAACACCGAATATCAAAAGCCAAAAACATAAAACTTACAAGCTTATAAGGTGGGGTTTTAAGGCCATAATAAGCAAAAACTTTTGGTACTCCGTGATGTCCATGAAGGCTTCTCTTCTGCCTCAAACCCTGCATTTGTAACACAGCCATTTAACACTTACATACAGAGAAGATACAAAATAAGCACGACGTAGAGTCCGAATTACGTACAACATTTGATAGTCTAGAGGGTATGTTCAGTTGGCTCGATAAATCAGTAGTCACCAACAGTTGTCTAGAACTTGAAGTGCAAAGACTGCTACAAGAAGACCAACTCATTTTCTTTACAATTTCCTTTCCCTCTGCTTATCTTACAGCTCAAGAAAACGTCACTGCAAACAAAACATTAACATTATTGAATCCAGAGAGGAATAGGAGAAGCACTTAGCTTAGTACAGTGGTTTGCTATATCAGCCATTTCAACAAACAGGTTGTGCGCAAGTTTGGAGGTGCAAATAACTTACATGCGGGGAATGACCTCTCTATATAACTTCTTTTAGCTAAATTGTTGCCTCAATTATCAGCTTGCACTCTCTTTCGCTTCTTCTATGGGTGTGGTGCTATCACTGTAAGCTTTTTTGGTTCTGTAATTCCACTTTGTCAGTTCCTTTTCCCGCTCAAGTATCGACGAGACTGTAGAAGATAATGGAGCTTCAAGATTTTTTTTTGTCCATGTCATCTGAGCGAATAAACACTACAAGCCCATACGTCATCTATTGGGCTACTTCATGTGGCCAATATGTATAAGCCCATATAAAAGGGGTAGTAAATAGTAATAGCACCGGCCAGCCACGTTTCAGCCCCGTAATTAAAAGGGACTTTTTTGTGTATATACGAGATTTTAAACTTATTCCGATTTTGTCCAAACTATTCATATTTACAGAAAGTAACTAAAGTTTTTTATAAAATATATACAAATTCGGTCAAAATATATAATTTATCTACAACTTACATACATATTTTTTGTACATAATCCGGTCAAAAATTACAATTTACATACGATTTATATACAACTTGTATACAATTATGTAAGTTGTAGATATTTTGTATATTGTTTCTACACTCGACATACAAAATATATTCAATTTATTTATAACTTCTTTTCCGAGTTTCAATCTGAAATTTCAACCAAAATCACCTTGAATCTTTACCAAATTCTCTTAAATTGAGATATAAACTCCAAAGAATATTTTCAATCACTTGTACAACACCTAATACAAACAAAAATAATTTGCAAATTTTAATTTTTGAATTCAAAGCTCCTAAACTTTCTAATGGATTAACATAGTTTTCAATTCAATCTACTCGCTTCTGATATATATTATTTTGTTTATTGATTACAAAAAGCTAAAAAAAATTAATGATCTTCCCTCGTTCAAAAGTGATCATTCGTTCATTGTTTAACATAGAAAAAAAGAGAGAAAAAAAAGAAGAAGAGAAAACATAATATAATTGCTAGAAACCAAATCTTTCTGTTCTCGAATACTGGGGGGCATCACCCTCGGATGTTACACTTTTGAGGGAACTATTTCGTGTCAAAGGGTCTCGGTAGAGAAATTTTGTAATGGACCAAACGGTTGAATGAACCGTGTCCGTATAGATTAGTCGATCCCCGATGGCAAAACATGTACGCATGTATAAATTATACAAAGAAGCATTCTTTCTATAAAGTTACAGAAGCATTCATTCTATAAAGCATTCATTTACCAACTTTAGAGAGAAGTTTACAGAAGCAGCTCTCACGTTATTTGGCTCTGGATGGATTTGGCTTGTCTGTAAGTTGCCCCAAACATCTTGTGTCTCAAAGAAAATTTTCTACTATACAAGCTCCATACTTATAATTTTGTGAGAAATGGCTTAAGGGCCAAGTGCAAATATACCTCGTACACTCGGGGACTGCCGTCGACGATCGACATATTCGAATAATCTAAACTCAAATTTATAAGACCTCAAAGAGGCACCCCTCAATCTATAGACCAAGGCCATCATTCTCGGGGACTAACACTTCGAACAAGTTCGAAGTGTTATTGAGAAGTAAGCCCAAGAAGCATACCCAAAGGCTACGGCCAAATTAAGGCGGCTCGGAGACGTCCGAATCCCGCAATAAAAATAGGCCTTCGAATTCTTTGAAAAACCAGTTAAAAAAGGCTACCCTCGGTAAGTAATCAAAAGGGTTTCGATGAAATCAGCCCTCAAAAAATCTTAAGAGGTATCAAATTATCTTAACACAAACGTGCTAAGGCACAAAAAGCAAAGGGGTTTCAATCGACATCGAACCCTCAAAAAATCCAATGGGTAAAGAATACGTGTTAAGACATAAAGAAATATTTTACTAAGTCTTCTAAGCCGAAAAAGGAAAAAAATAGCCATCTTTTAGAGGCCATATCGGCCCAATCTAAAGAGACTAAGGGCCAATACACTTAGAGTTCGAGATTTTGTTCTCACTCAATTCGGACCTAAGGGTTCCACTAATCCGAGCTCAAATAAACCTGACTTGAATATAGCTCGAGGATTCTTCATTATTTGATATAAAACCTTAAGGGGTCTGTTACTGTGAGCTCGAAACTTACTCGAACTCGGCTATAAAAACAGTATAATTACGGCTTCGATCAAGCCATCCGAAATCAAAATCCCGAACATATTGTTGAGCTCGGGGACTCGCCTTCACTTAACTAAAAAACCTAAGGGTTTGTTCTACTCTAAGTTTGAGCTATTGCTCACTCGATTATAGAGGCTACAGTAACCCGATTGCAACAAAGTCTTCACAAGGCAAAGGCAAAACAAAATTTATCATAAATCAGAAATCGGAGACGAAACGAAAAGAAAAGGAATCTTTCATATATGCAAAGTATTTACAAAGACCACACAGGGTCTTACACAAAAAACAAGCGGAGAAAAAAATCCTAAATGCCTAGTCCACCTCGGGAGCCGCATCTTCGGGAGCTTCATCTTCATCTCCTACGCTCTCAGATCCACTCGCAGAGTCTTCATCATCGGAAAGCAAAACTCCAGGCTCGTCCTCCAAAACCTTCGCACTCTCGATATCAGCCATGAGGTCGAAGCCACGAGCATGTACCTCCTCAAGAGTCTCTCTTCGAGACTGGCGCCTAGCATGCTAGGCAACACGGGACAGTCTAACCTCAGCAGCGTCAGAAATTTCATTTGCCCGAGTATTAGCGGCTTCAGCGTCGGCTCGGTAGGAGGCCACAAGCGCCTCTGCCTCGGATGTGGCCCTTGAAAGTTCAGCGGCCAATCGAGTCTCGAGCTCTTCAACCTTCTGGGCTCGGGCCAAGCTCTCCACCTTCACACTTTGGAATTGACGCTCAACCGAAGACAGTTGGGCCCTAGCCGCATCTTTCTCTGAGGCGAGACGGTCCATGCTCTGCTTCCACCCCAAAGTATCTACCTCTTTCATCTTGGCCTCCTCACGAAGTTGATCTCGATGAGCTCTTGTCAGCTCGGCTCGAATACTCATGATCTCCTCTTCTTTTTTCACATAGAGGAGTTTGAGGGCGTCTCTCTCCTCCATAAGCTTTTTGAGATCAGCCTCACATCGGGCCAGCTCAGCCCGGTATTTGGAGGACTCTTCTCGATGGAGCATCGTAGCCTGTGCAGAAAGAAAGGAAATCAGACTTAGAGAAATAAGAACAAACGCACACATGGTAACATCATCGACCACAAGTAAAACTCACTTGGTTCAGAAGCTGCTGAGCCTCATCAAAAAGGAGTGATGCGTCCAGGTCGGAAACATCATCGACCCCCGTGAAGCAACCGCGAAATATATCATCCCTTTCGGGGTCCGTCCCCACATAGGGCGTCCCCATGGATCGGGCATCCCGAAACTGCCCCTCAGAGAACGTGGGGCCAGGCGGTGAATCATCAATGTTAATTGCCCCAAGCGAGTCACTTGGGGCTTTCTCTTCTCTTTGAAGGGCCTCAAAACTAGACCCTTCGAGCACACCCACCGGTTTCTCATCATGGCATGAGGCATCCTCAACACTCGATGACTCGGGGACTTTGCTCGGACCTTCCTTCGAGATCACCTCGGTCTGCGGCCGAACCTCCTTGACCATCACCGGCTCAGCAGTTCTCGAAACTTTGATGCCCTCCCTCTTCTAAGCCACCAGCAGGTAGTTGACATCTTCTCCCTCCTCGTCTTTATCTCGTAGCGTTTGGACTACATCGGCAGGCAGAACGGAGAGATCAGTCTTCAACTTTTGAGCCCTGCTTTTCTTGTGCTTTTGGGTATCTGGTGGCGAGGCCCTTCTTCTTTTCTTGTCTTTGGTCGGCTTAGGGACCTCCTCTTCCCCCCCGAGGGGAGGCAGCCTCATAACGACATTATCTCCAAGACCTGTATGAGAAAAAATCAAGATAAAAGGAAGTATTTCATAGGAAAGCATCAAACGAGAACATGAGAACTTACCATGATTTTTGGCCTCCTATCGGCCTTTGGCCAAATCACGCCACGAGCGCTCAGCATACGAAGAGGTTGAAACCAGTTGTCGAACCCAACCTGTAAGGTCCGGGACTGCACCAGGAAACCAGGGGGAAGCTGTACCATAAAGAAAAATATAGATGAAAAGAGGTAAAGGAAACATAACAAGTAATCAAACGTTATCGGTGAAGTTCTACTTACGCTTCATGTTCCATTTTTCGGGGAATGTCATTTTCTCGATGGGGATTAAATCGGAGGTCTTGACTCGGACAAATCGGCACATCCATCCTCGGTCTTTGTCCTCATCTATGCTCGAGAATAGCACCTTCATGGCCCGGTGCTAAAGCCTTATCAGTCCGCCCCGATAAAGACGTGGGTTGTATAGCCTAATGAGATGATCGAGGGTGAAAGACATCCCCTCGATCTTGCTCGAGAAGAATATGAGCAAAATGACAACGCGCCAAAAAGAAGGGTAGATCTGGCCTAGGGTTACCCGGTATTGGCGGCAGAAGTCGATTATGACAGGATCGACCGAACCTAGTGTGAAAGGGTAAGTATACACACTTAAGAACCCTTTCACATGAGTGGTGATGTCCTCTTCGGGGGTAGGAATCACTACCTCTTTATTCTCCCAGTGGCAGTCCTTTTTTACCTGCTCGAGATCGCCTTCGGATATCGAACAGATGTATCTAGACATGAGCTCGCATCGGCCAGGAACCGAAGAGGATTTTTTGACTTTAAAATCAGAAGTAAGTTCACATGGCCCGGAGATGCACTCTTCGATACGTGGCTCCACCGGTGTTTTGTCACCGGCCGGCAGCGATGATGAGGCCTTTTGTTCTTGAAGAACAGTTTTTGATGTTTTTGCCATTGCTATATGAGGTTTAAGGAAGGAAAAGGCGGAATTTGCATTTTAATAAGAGATTGGCAAACGGAAACCGACAAAGTTGATGGACTTGAAGAGAATAGAAGAGCTTTTGAAGATTAGAAGAAGTTTGAAAGTAAAGTTTGAAAAGATTATGAAGGTGGTCTATTTATAATAGCCACTTTGACGGTTTGAAAGCACTGGTGGCCGACCATCAGCTGGCATTAATTAATGATCTTAGGAACTACGCAGACGCGATGCTTGAATCGCTTATGTCGCTTACGTCATGATGTTGACGTTATAATTGATCGAGGTATTAAATCGAAGTCTCAAATTCGTTTTTTCTCGTTACACTCCAAAAAACGAGGGGACTATCTGTATACGGTCGAAATCGGGCATACCCGATTTCG